GATCGCCGCGTCGACAGGTGGTTTAAGCCTTTTTCGCAGTTCTGTAGCTCTATGTTGGATGAATAAAGTGAATATAGAAATGAAAAGCGGTTTTGTGAATGTTGGTGACTAGTGTAGTTTACTCAAAACTGTGATTTAGTATTGAGATGCCAATAGAAAATCAGTGAAAACTGGAAAAATTTGCAGCGCTGGACACTGCAGTGTAAGGGCAGTATAGGTTAAAATTCCAGATTTAAGCTCCAACTGCTAGATACGAAGCACAAAAACGAATGGTTTTTCGGTTCGGTTAGCAAGTTAGGGCACGAAAAAACTCGGGAAATAGTGGAGAAGACGAGTTCGATTTCTTCTGGGCCGATAAGTGCTCATTTTGCGAACGATGATGCGTGCACGATTGTCTATAGTAGGATGGTGCACTGCTCTCACTTGTTCTTAATTGTTCCTTGAATACTCAGAAAAAAGAGCTGGTTTTCCATCCGGTGGCAGCTGGCAGTTCCTCCAGTTGATTAGACAAGTGCTAAGTCATCTGCTTGTTGTTAGCGTAAGGGTTCCTTGACATTCATGCTCTCGGTTTTTGCAATGTGGAGTGCTGCAGTCATCGAGCATGAAACTGTTCAGGAAAGAACGAATTTTTGCTAAATTCCAAGTTTTTAGAGATATTTGTCGTGAACAGTTTTGGGAAACTGCAAAAGAGAACGGCGATGTGTTCGGGCCACTGGAAAATCTTGTGTATGACGATGCAAACTGTCTGTGGACAAAGGAAAAGCTGAATTTGCCAAATGGCATCGGTCGACATGAAATCAAGAAGCCCACTGCCAGCGGTCAAGTGAGTCGTAAATGACCATGAGAGGGAAGGGGGGAATGTCTCAAAGCTGATTGAGATGTTAGCCCAAGGAGGGATAGAGGACATCCCTCTTTGAAGTTTCAGCTTCCCGGCTAATCCCCGAGGTCGCTTTCCCGCCAAAACTTTCATATTTTCTTCCAGAAAGCCATATGTGAGTTACTGGGCTGAAAATTTGTGAAAAAACCAACACATACACAAATATAAAACACACATTCACATCAGAATGCATGTGTACGAAAAACAGACAACCTCTTGAAAATATGTGTTTTTTTGTATTTGTATAAATATGCAAAAACGCTTAGTCACAATGGTTTCCTGGTGCATGGGGCCACTGAAATCTTGTTCCTTCACTTTGAAAGGTGAGGACGGGACTGACATATCGCTGAAGTCTGGAAGCTCGGTAGTTTGTTTGTAGCAATGAGATTGGGGAAAGAAGAGAAAACTTGTTTTTTTTTTTTAATAATTGAGGATATTTGAGGTATTTCTTTTTGGGTTTCTTCTAATTATGCCTTATTTTTCTGTTTTTTTTTTTTTTTTTCAGGAGCGAGTGGCGTACATCATGGAACTGAAATATACAAATAGCTTTAAGATTGATCTGCAAGTGGATTTGGATATGACACGTTGCGTTTCCGTGCAGTTTCTGGATTCGTTACTCACGCAAAGTATTCGTTGTCC